AGGATTTATAAGGATTCAAGGGATTCTTTTATGAATAGATTATTATATAACTCGTCATTGCTTTGTATTCTTGTGAAACGATGAAAATGTTGATAAATGTTGATAACATTGAATTAAAGATAATTCCATAGAAACCTAATCGATTTCAATATGTCTCTATAATTTCTCAAATTTTTAATTAGCCTCTCTTTGAAGATTTTAAGATAACTCTTGATCTATAAGTGGCTGAATATCAAATCTCTTTAAAATCTCTTAAAATCTCCTTTTTTGTATCAAGATCCTGGTTCGTAAAACGCAACATCCTTCTTTTTTCATGAAGATAGTTTCGCATCCTCTTTGCTGTCATTTTTCTAGAATATATACGAGGATATGCTTACCTAACTTTTTCCTTCAAAGTTATTTACATCCGTTACATAAAGAAATAATTCAAAAATTTGCATAACATATAGAATTAATCTCGTAATGGGTTAATTAATTGCATAATCACTCGACTTCTTATTACGTCACCTCAATGGAGGATTGACATTTCCATGTGAATACGTGTGCCAATCAATTGTCAAATGTTCCGTTCCAAATCAAACCGTTTTCGATCAAATTGAATATTTTATTAAAAGCAACGTTGTCTCGATGTTGTTCGATATACAGATTTTACAGAAAAATGACTTCATATATAAATTTCAAGAAAAAAAAATATATATATATATATTTCTGACGTTAAAAACTTGGATAAATCGTGTCCCAAAAAATATTTCCACGAAGAATTTTTCCATTAATTTATTATTATTATTTTTTTTTAGTTTCGGTATTTTAAACATCCACCATATTTCCTCGATATTTCTGAATTCGAATTATTCAAACGGAACAAATTTTTTTTTTTCAACAAATTCCAATTTTTATTCAAAGAACACATTTGACAAATGACAAAGACAAAAATTGCAAGAATTGTAAAACGTGGAATAGAAAATCTGGTATCATTGAGAGAGGTATATCCTTGTCAAAGAACATCGAATTTCAGAAGGGAGGGCAGACAAAGGGAGACAGATTCCCTTCTGTCAATAAACCACCATTTCAAATTTGAAAATCCCTTTCGCCCCCTTTGAAAGATTAATTCACCCTTGACACAGCATTCTAAATAATTCATCGAGATATATACATACGATTCGACATCGCATCGGAAGAAATTTTAAGAATCCTATAAAGAATTCCATTCTTCGAATCGATATTCCAAACTTGGAAGTTGGAACGTCGGAGGAATAGTGAAAATGTGGAAAAAAAAAGAAGAAAAAATTCTCGTGGTTTATCTTTCCGGATCACCAACTATTGGAATTTGACACTTTCTTTCCATTCTTTACGATTTATCATTAAATTTATTACAAAATTTTTGTACAAGGATCGAACAATATAACAAATTACATCTTTCATAGATGTAATGGAGTATTACCTAATAGAACGAAATTTTCTTTAGTATTTAGTCGAATATTTCGAGTTCCTGATTCGAGGGGGCACCACCATCGATCATTCTTCCCCCAGTTCCATCGTAATTCAAACTTGCTCCATTTTCGATCTGTTCTCACGCACCAAGATCCTCTTTCTTATTCCCAGAGCGTGAATAGAAAAAAAAAAAAGAAAAGAAAAGAAAAAGTTTTTGGAAAGGTACTAACTCATTAAAAGGAATTTCTGATATTCAAGAAATATATGAACAGTGTTTGAACAAAATTTATTATCCCCAGAGCGTGGAAAAAAATGAAAATGTTTCTGAAAGGGTACTAACTGGTTAAAAGGAATTTCTGATACGTTCAAGAAATATAAATATATGAAACAGTTGTTAGACAAAATTTATTATTCCCAGAGCGTGAAAAAAAAAAAAATGAAAAAAGTTTCTGGAAGAGTAGTAACTGGTTAAAAGGAATTTCTGATGTTCAAGAATATATGATATTTTTTTAAGAAAAAAAAAAAAATACTATCACCTCAAACTATTTCATCGTATTATTAATTCTCGATCTTAAGTAAGTGAAAAGAGACGGAGTAAATTACGAGAGCTACGCTTCAAGTCAGTGGAGGGGACTCACCTAGGCGACGATTACATAAAGATCCTATCTCGATCCCAAAATCACGATTCAGAGCAGATTGAATTGCCTCTGAGTCGCCGTGAGTCTCGATTAAGCCTAGACACTGACTAGAGAGGATCGTTAAAGCTTCACGTGCGTCGATTTCTCAAGGATCGATATCGAGTTTGTTGGTCGGTAGAAGAAATGTCGAAAGGTTGTCGACGGGAAGCAAGCCAATAAGAGATTATTCACACGATCGAGGCTGAAAAGTATTCCAATTTCTTTGATTGACTTAGCAATAGATATAGATTTTCGAGATGATAATGACAATGAAAGTGAAATATGTGCTTTTTGATACTCGATCGAGATGAATTATCTGTGTGTATTAGAAAGTTAATATTCAGTTTAATTTTATACTTTAACTCCAATAATGGTGAAATTGAATAAAACTTTCGTTCTTCTTTTTCTTTCTTGTTTTTCTTTTTTTTTTTTCTTTTGCAATCCCTGCAAAAGTGGAATAGATAAGAAATGGGAAAAGCGAGAAACTCGAGGAAGAGTTTCCTATTCTTTCGTGTCAAGTCGATGGAGAATGGGGAAGGTTGAAAAGGAGAATCTTGAAAAGGAGACGAGCTCTCAGATACGTATGATCCAAAAGGGAAAGTTCGTCCACCTAAAGACAGTTACAGCAGCAACAGATGTCTGAATCCATTTTACCTTTGGAACGACTGTATAATTTTGCGTTACGAATGAAAGTTTCACGAAGAAGAAGATTGAGAAAACGAGGAGCATTATTTTGATCTCGTTAAAAACAAATCTCGATTATACACGCTCGATTATAATTTCGTAAAGAAATTAATTTTGCCCGTTTCAAATTGGAATTCGTTCAAAGTTCGATACAATTCGACATCTGTATCCACCACACCGAAAACATCGAGTTTAATTAACACTCGAAATAAAGTTGAGCTCAATCGTGCGTTCGTATCTGCTTCTTTTTTCTTCTTTATCGCTCAATCCGTATCCGCTCTGGGTTACCTTCTTTCTCTTTCTTCTTTTTTTTTTTTTTTTTCATTTGATTCATCGCAATGGAACAATTTCGCGGGACAATAAATATCATTAATTTCAACGAATCGAATATAAAAAAAAAAAAAATTAATTCTCGAAAAATTCCTCATCAACGAGTCACCAAGAAAGAAGGGAGAGAAAATGAAAAGTATGGCCAGAGCGCACAGGAGACGCGAAAGAAGAAATCTATCTTCGAACTTATTAAACAGTGATCGAGCGGCCAGAAGGGCCAGGTGCACTGACCTTTCCTTGGTGTTTCGGCCGTCCTCATCGTCCTCCTCCTCGATATCGTGCAGCCTGGGGCTCAACCGATGCTGGGTCCCACCTTCCTTCGCGTACTCCTCCTCCTCCCCCCTCTGCTCGATCCCCTTTTCGTCCTCAAGGTCGTCCAGATCCTCGTCGAGATTGCTCAGAGGCGCCAACTCGCCCCCCCTCGACACGGACGCCTTGTTCTGTTGCTGGTGTTGCTGCCTCTCCTTCTCCTGTTGCTTCTGCTGAGGATGATGCTGCAGCAGATGCTGGCTCTGCTGCTGCTGTTGCTGGCACTTGTGACCGATGGAACCCTTCTTAGCCTCGGGGGTGGCCCCCGAGACAGCTGCACCACCCCCACCCCCGCCGCCACTGGCGCACGGCAGGCAGCAAGACCACGCGCCCCCCACCTCGACACCCTAGCGCCACTCAGCGTCAAAACATCCAGGGCCGGTCACACCAGGCTCTTCCACGACTCGTCAAGCTTGACACCTCGGACACGACAGGCGAATCTCCAACCCGTGTACACGGGCTACGGGCTACATCGCTTTGTCCACGAGACACGGGGAGGACGAAAGTTCCAAACTTCTTCCTCCGGGGAGGCAGAGAGAGTCGAGTCGAGAGGTCGCGTTGAAAATTTTCTTCCCGCTTCCGTTTTGCTTCTGTTTCCTTCTTTTCTTTTCTCTTTTCTACGTCTTGTTTTGTTGAGTCCGTTGTTGAGTCTGTAACTATGTTTAATAGTGGTGGTGAGTAGTTTCAGAGGCCTGGGAAAATGAATACTCCCACGGGTAGACGATTAGTAAGTAGGCTGACTCGGATTTGGCGTTTAAAAAAATTTATCAAGAGGAGTTGTCGCGTGGTCCAGAGTGGTGGTTTTCGAATTACTCGAGCCTTTTCTAGAATCTATAAAAGTATCGTATTTTGGAATACGATTTGCTAGAAATTCGGTGGTTTTATTTTTTTTTCGAAAAAGTTGTCTAGAAGTTGTTGAGCCCCTGAAAGTCGAGATCTATCTAGATCTATTTCTCTTAAAAATCCTATAGAAATGATCCTATTTATAGTTTAATTAATCTGGCCTCGAGGATTCGAGGATGTTTTTGGATTGTCTCGAAGAATTAATTATTTATTATAGCGTTTCTTACTTTCACGACGATAGATTTTTGGATATAGTTTCCCAGTCCCAGTTATCCGATTTGGAACTGGAACTCCTTCCTCGTCTTTCCTTATCACATTCAGATTTCAGTTTTCAGAATATTTTACGGTTTTTCTTATCGAACCATGACTAAGGCGAGAAGTTGACGAAGTCGGAATGGGCGATGAAATTTGAATAGATAGGCCTTTGCTCTCGATTCGCGTACGAAATTCTCAATCGATCGCTCCCCTTCTCTCGAAGGCGCCACGACTCCTAAGACTCCTCGAAACGATTCGCTTGCCGCCCCACTCGTCGGGGTGGATCAACCCAAATTTTCCGCGCGACACCTTCCAAGTCTTCTCCTCGTTCTCACCATCGATCTTTATCCAATCCTCGATTAACAAGCTTGCACAATTTTCACAATTTTCAACACTGTTTTCCCACTGATTTTCCCGAGAGAGATATAGGATTGTCGAGGATAGGATTATCGAAAACCTGTGAACACGATCGGCACACCGCGATTTTCACTTTCTACACACGCGTTGGGGAGATGTTTCTCTCCATGTTTCTCTCCCCGTTGTTTCAAACACAAAAAAAACGTCACGAGGGGAGAAAGAAAAAAGATTAATCAAAATAATTCTCGATCAAGAAATTCGCTCGAATTGTTCCTCTTCTTCTTCTTCTTCTTCTTCTTCTTTTTTCTTCTTCCTCAAAGCGAGGTTATCAGCGTGTATTATAGGCTGGCCGCCAGTTTAAAGCCAGCCACGTGCCACAACCTGTATCGATCCTTCGATTGCTACATCCTTTTCACCGCTCGTTAATCGCCACCCCTTCTCCCCCCCACCCCATCGATTTCCTAAACAGCTTTCGCTACGCTTCGATATCGCTTCCCACCCTCTCCCCGCCCGATAAATCTTTTCAACTGAGCAGCTTCTCACGGATTCCATCACGGATTCAAACTTTTACAACGATGGTTCATCACGTTCATTACGTTGCGTTCTTCTTCTTAGGGGGAAGAGGAAATAGTCGGTTGCTTTGGCACAATTTGAAGTAAGAAAATTATGTGCGTGCGTGGAAAGCGGTGAAGCGGCGTAGTTTCAGTCTTTTTTTTTTTTTTTTTTAGTTAGAGAAGAAGGAGAGAGAGGATCCTTGTTGGCTGCTTGGTGTTCTCGCGCGAGTGTGCACGGGAACTGATTGTCGATAGTGGAAGGACTTGCTGCTTTCGAGGAGCGTCCGCTCTCTGCAAGCATATCGCCTGTCAGATGTGTGCGTACAACGCGTGGAGCGAGAGAGAGAGAGAGAGAGAGAGAGGAGGAGGGAGG